CCTTGTTGTTCCCTTGTCCCTGGGTTTGTTAGTACCCACTTCCTTTCCCCAACCTCCCCCTCTCTCATGTCCCCCAGGAACCATTGGTCCATTGTTTTCTCCTCCAGTTTGTTTATCCCATCTATTTTAAGTAGATAGACATGCAGAGATGATAATATGCACAAAAAAACAAGACAGAGAAAAACAAGCCAACAAAAGAAAACAAACAAGAAAAAGCCAATGACAAAAAAGGGATAAGCCTGTAAATAGTTCCAGGTCTGTTTGTTGACTTTTAGGAGTGTTTTCTGGTCGAGTCTGCTGGGGTACCATGCCCTGGCCCCACAGTCTATTTTTGGTACTCCCTGGGGACTTCCTTGCTCTGTTCCCCTTGCTGTTCTGTTGCATGCCCTTAGTGTTTCGCCTCAGTGTAGCCACGGTATTTTCAATAACCTCATAGACATATGAAAGTTGGACAATAAACAAAGTAGACTGATAAGAATTGATACATTTGAATTATGGTGTTGGCCAAGAATGTTGAATACACTATGGACTGGCAGAAAAATGAACGAATCTCTCATGGAGGAGACACAGCCCGCATTTTCCTCAGAAGTGAGGATGGTGAGACTTTGGACAGTTCTCATATGCATGATAAAACGATTGACACAGTGGCTGCAACGACAGGCTCAAATATGAGAAAGACAGGACCGTCAGTGTTCCGTTCACTTTGACACAGGATCAATGAGTTGTTACTGACACGACAATACTTAACAATAACCATTTGAAATTCTGACCCTTGTGCTGTTCCACAAGGGCTTTGAGGTGCAGAGTGGCTAAGTGACTTGCTGCAAGTTACATGTGGGAAAAAAGAAAAAAGACTAACTAGGGCTAGAAACCAGATGCTAACTGAAATTTATTGTACCCTGTGACGCATCTAAGTGCCACTGGGAGAAAGACACACACAGCTACACAGCGAATGTTGAGTTAGAAACAGGCGTATCATGGCTGTATCATTGATGAGCTGCTTGATCTGGGAAAAATAATTTAAAATATTCAAAGACTATTACCATAGCTACTTGGCTTTTGCATAAAAATAAAAAATATGATAGAGTATGCAACAGGTAAGTATAACAAAATATTTTGAAACATTTTTCAAGGCTGAGAGAAAACACATTGCTTACTTTTTTCTTGTAAGGCCTGTAATTTATTTAGTTCTTCATTCTCTTCATCAGTATCCTCACTGCTTGTGCTGCTGACATCCAAAACGATGTCCCTTTTAGGGTCTACTCGGAGGAAGTTGCGGCATTCAAAAGTCAGATGACCAGCTAGTAAAACCAAGACAGTGAATGACAAAACCATAGATGCGTCACGTACTTTTTATTTACAAACAGAGTTGCTTCCTGGTAAGCAGCAATTTTCAGTAACATACTATCTTATTTGACTTTTATTTAGTTGGTGGTAATTTGATTCCCAGTCTAGAAGTTTTCCTGAAAGCAACACACAGAGAACTTTTGTTCTTTACCAGAACTTTTAATTCAATCATCATCTTCTGGCCCACCTTTTATGGATGTCAGGGTATGGAATTACTGCATTTTTCCCTTTCTATGTACTTTCTATCTATCTACTAAACAAATACCATATTTTTTATTGCTTTCCAATACCTTATCTGTCTCAGCTTTACTATTGTAATCATGTAAGTGTGTAACTTTCATCTACTCAAAATTGCTATAATGAATAAGCATAAATATAACTGAATGTACACTTGTTAAGAACACCTTAAGTTTAATTTTAACATTGTTATTGTTAGTTGTTGTTAGGTACCATCAAGTTGGTTCCAACCCATAGAGACTGAGTAAATGGCATGGGGGCCACATCTGACTTACTTTGGCCAATGAGAACTCACAGGCAACACTCATGATTATGGGGGCTTATTCGCTAGGGAAGCTAATGAGCTACAAAATGCTAAGGATATTGTTCTTTTGTTCACAGCACCTCTTCTCAGGTATGCCGGTCTTTCAGCCACTTGGTCCCTTGACCTCTGCCCCCTGACTCAGGAAGCCCGCCCGGCTCTGCCTCCCTGTCCCAGCACTGCTCGCTCCTGTGTTCTCGTGGTCACAGGAGTTCTGCGATGACCCTCTGCTGCCTCATGATCTCAGTGCTGCGGCCTCTGGTGGCTCTGCTGCCCCTGCCACTCCCAACGCAAATCTTTCATGCATTCTACTAGGGTTCTTCTTTCTTTTTTTTCTAGGATTTTAAACAAATTAACTACTTCTATTGGGGGCTCTTACAACTGTTATCACAAACCATACATTCATTCATTTTGCCAAGCACTTTTGTACATATGGTATGTTGCCATCATCGTTCTCAAAGCAATTTCTTGCTGCTTAAGCCCTTTCTATCAGCTCCTCATTTTTTGAACCCTCGATAAATTTATTGAACCCTGGATAAATTATCAATAACTATTTTCATAGCTTACATCACCCACTGACTCCCTTCACCCACTTTTCTGTTGTCATCCCCAGGCTCTTTTTTCTTAAAGGTCCTCTTCCTGCTTCTGAGGTGGCTCATGCGCATACCCAGGGGGAAAGGTGAAGCTGCCCTCAGTTGGAGTCCTCTACCTCGATTTACATGCTGCCACTCAGGGAAAGGGTTGGGTAGAAGAGCCACAATCAACAATTTCACCTCACCACAGCTGCATAAGACAGTTTTAAAGTGTTGACCAGCAATACTGTCCTTTTGAGGACTAACGTGCACCTAACCCTAGCCCTGGTGCTTTCAGCTGTCTCAAATGCATATGGAACCAGGCAATGAAAAAGGGAGGCAGGAGAAAAACTGGTGCATTTGAATTATGGTGTTGGTGAAGAATACTGTAAACCAGTCAGGACATGAAGCAGTCAGGATAACGACAGGAAAGCAGGAAAAGACCCAAGTGGCTGTCACAGAGACTCCGAAACTTGGGGCTGAGAATGCAATGATAAGTTTAGGAAAGACTGGGTGTGTGCTTCAGAGATAGACTGCTACTTGTCCACATCGTCAGCTTCCTTCTGTCCACTAGCTTCTATTAGAAGCACTTCACAGAATTATCCTATGATGAGAGTTTGTCAAATTTTCCTGGGAAAACAGCTTTTGCTCATTTTTTGATATGGTTTTTATTATTTTATCTTATTGGTTGATCATTCTTAGATCCCTCTTAGTATTCTTTTTGCCTTAAACATCTGATTATTAAAATTGTTTAACTCTTTTGGTTAGCATCAGTTGAATTATGAGATTGACATTTTGACAAAATTTAACCTAGTATCTGTTGGTTGCTTAGTTTAAACAACAATATGTACAGATTTTAGTTTTCTAGGCAGTCAGTTTCTATATAGCTGGGCTTAAAAAGCCTTGGTGGGGCAATGGTTAAGTGCTGAGCTGCTGAGAATAAGGGCAGTAGTTCAAAGCGGCTTGGAGGGAGAAGGGACTTGAGGATCTACTGCCATAAACTCCCTTGCCAAGGAAATCCTATGGGGCAGTCATACAGGCTGGCTCAAATCAACTGGATTTAAGCAGAGGGTGCACAAGGACACACTAGACTATTTGTTTTTTTTATCTGATACAAGACTCATTTTAATGTTAATTTCTGAGCACCAGAAAATGTTTCCTGCCTCACTAAAGAAGTAGTATAGATTCATATCCTAATTATACTGACCTGGTAGAAGTTTGGGTTGCCAGCTTCTGATTATTTCTATTGTTATTATTTTAGAGGAATGTAAACTGTGAGCTGCTTTCTTGTTGCTTTTCTAGACAGTGGAATTTTTCTTTCTTTCTTTTTTTTTTAAATCATTTTATTAGGGGCTCATACAACTCTTATCACAATCCATACACACATCAATTGTGTAAAGCGCATTTGTATATTCATTGCCCTCATCATTCTCAAAACATTTTCTCTCCACTTAAACCCCCGACATTAGGTCCTCATTTTTCCCCTCCCTCCCCGCTCCCCTCCCCCCCATGAGCCCTTGATAGTTTATAAATTGTTATTTTGTCATATCTTGCCCTGTCCGACGTCTCCCTTTACCCACTTTTCTGTTGTCCGTCCCCCAGGGAGGAGGTCACATATAGTTCCTTGTAATCAGTTCCCTCTTTCCTACCCACTCTCCCTCCACCCTCCGTTTTGCCACTCTCACCACTGGTCCTGTAGGGCTCATCCACCCTGGATTGACAGTGGAATTTTTCTGAAACGTGTTTCATATCCTGTTTTGAGAAGTCTGTTTTATGCAAAGGAGCCCTGGTGGCACAGTGGTTGTGCATTGGGCTGCTAGCTGAAAGGCCAACTGTTTGGAAACACCAGCAACTCTGTGGGAGAAAACGGGGCTTTCTACTCCCATAAGGAGTTACACTCTTGGAAATCCACAGTGGCAGTTCTACCCTGTCCTATAGCTTCTGAAGCTGCAATTTCCAGTGAACAAACTGTCCTACATGATTAATCTGTTGGCAGAATGCTCTCTCTGCCACTTGTTTTAAAGGATATTTGGCGCTTCCCTGAAGATACTTCTCTAATGCCAATCATCTCTTATTTCACTATTAGTATTCACCAACATTCACAACACTGTCTAAATATCAGTCCTATACTCTGTTGTTAAGCCCCTTGCTGCTGTCTGACAGCTATTCACCAAAGTCTTTAGAAACTAGCTCACAATCTTGCTTTTTCCCTGAACCCTACCATAAAGCCTGGATGGACACATTCACTTTTTTCAGTTCCTTGACATTCTGGATGGCATGTCCACCCAATGGTCCTTGTCACCACTTGGAATTGTTCAGTGTCTAAATTTTAAACTCTAATATTAGACTCTGAAAATAATCATTTAACCTTTAGGGTCATTTTGTACTTGCTTATCTGCATGCATAGATATGTTTTTGAATCAAATTAAGCTCATTCACTTCTCATTTTCTCCTAGTTTATCAAACTCCTCATTACTGACCATTTGAACAACTCAGTGATAAACATCTTTGACTCTCTCATACCTTTGTTCTTCCATAATGCACCTCAAGGCAAAACAACCAGCCTCGTTCTTTCTTTGGATTGTTCCTACAAAGGCATGGCGAAACAATGCTGGCGAATAAACACATTCATGTGCATTAGCAAAAATACCTGTTAACTATTTTAAACTTCCGTTTCACCCCGGTGATTTTTTTATTTGTCTTTTGTCAACTTTCTCTGTTTCCCTGAATGACTTTTTCAACCTGCACCTGTCTCATACTGTCTTAGGATGGGATCTCTAGATAAGAAGAGCTGATAAAGCTGATATCTGTATATAACTTATTGCCACTGAGTGGATTCTGACTCATAGTGACTCTACAGGACAGAGCAAAACTGCCCCTCAAGGTTTCTGAGGCTGTAAATTGGTACAGAGCAGAAAGTCTCACCTTTCTCCAATGGAAGGCTGGTGGGTTTGAACTATCCATCTTGTAATTAGTAGCGCAATCCATAACCTACTATGCTATCAGAGCTCCTATATGTATTATCTATGTGCATGTACATGTGCACTGAGCCTCCTTAATTCAGATGGCAACTATAACATCAGAGAGCAGCAGAACCAGGAGCTAGAACAGGAAACAGAGGGATGGATTTCCCAACCCACGGAGCAAGTTAAGAGGAGTGCTTTCACGCAGGAGGCTGCCTTGTGGAGTGGAGTGACTCCAGGCATTTAGTTCGGAACATTGGACTCGCTGACCTCTGGAAGAGGAGCTGAGTGCCTTCTGGCTGAGGCTTCCTGGAATGGGGGTGTGTGTGTGTGTTCTGGGCACTTAATTCAGGAAGCTGGGTTTGCTGACCCATAGCAAGCTGAATGCCTTTGGATTGAGGTTTATAGCAGAGTGGTATGTTCCTTTGGGCATTTATTAGCAAACCTGAAACTTAACATGTCCTGGTAAAAACCACCTGAGCATTTCTCCCTGGCATTACAACTTGTTAATTTCCTTAATGAACCCTTTATCATGAATCCTGTCTGTGAGTTTGTGTAGCCATGTGTGTAGCCATTGCAATGGATATTAGAACTCAAAGACACGTAACAGAGAACACTCCTTAATACTATACAAAGAGTACACAGGTTCTTTTTACATATATACATATATATGAGGGTTCAAAAGCTCATGGAAAAATTCTATTATCTTTCAATGCTTGTATATACTTTCTCCAAATCCAAAATATACTACTAAGTAGATGTACTTCATCACAACTTTGCTAGTCACCAGATACAGAGTCACTTGGGTGTACAGCAGAGACTCCCAAACTCACTGCCATCAAGTTGATTCAGACCCACAGTAACCGTATAGGACAAAGTAGGGCTGCCCCTTTGGAGTTACAAGAATGTAAAAATCTCTCTGGAAGCAGACAGCCTCATCTTTCTCCTGCAGAGAAGAGAGAATATTTAGTACTGAACATTTCTGAATCAACTGAAAGCTAAACTAATTAGAATAGGCCAAAAGATTATTCATAGGAACCCAGAAATCAGGATGCTACATTCTATTGCTCATTGTGGTAATAATTCCATTAACAGCCCTGAAGTAAACATTATTTTGTAATATACTTACGGTAGCCACATTTTTTACAGCCTGCTCTGACACTGTCCTTGTTGCAACCTGAAATATAATTAGATAACATTTTTGAAGGTATGTAAAAAAGCTTAAAAACCCAAAAACAACCTTGACTCCCTTACTAACATTATTCAATTATGATTATTAGAAATAAATGAATAGATTAAATTGTTCAAATTATTTCCTTTGGCAAGAATTGTATTGACATATTTTTCTCTAATTCAATACAATTCCAATATTAAAGTTAAGATGTTTATTAGTTTAGAATTCTACTTTAAGAAATTTGAGGGTATGGTATTCTCTGCCTTAAATAGAAAATGATGGAAAAACTAGAAACAAATCGACTACTAGCTATATATAAAAACATTTCAGTTAGCAAATGTTTTTCTGCCTCTAATAATAATAATAAACCCGACTTTGTGAAATTCCAGATAGACCACTTTACTAGACATTTAAAGAAACATCCTAATCCAGCACTCAAATCTTACTAAGAGACATGCAGGTATATTGAAGATATAAATACCAAAACAACTGATTTGAACTTGCAATCAAGGCTTCACAATCTACCAATCAGAGATACAGGATAGTGTTTTCCATTTTCGTAAGGAGGGGTATCAAACTCTTAAATCCTACACATGAGGAGAGCATCTCAACTCAATTGTAAAGGATAGAACATAGAGAGTAGATATATATCATGCTTGGTTTTGAAAAGTAATTTAAAAATAAATTTTCATGTTATAAACTTAAAACATTAGTCATTTTTCCTCTAAATGCTAACTTAGTCTTAAGAACATATTATTGAGTTATTCTAGAAATAGTTAGTTGATTCTGTTATCATACTTGTTCTGAAAATGCAAGTTTGTTCCAATATGACTGATATATCAAGGAAAGGGTTGAGAGTAACATGAATGCTGTCCATGAAAACTCTATGTGGAGGCAGAAAATAGCCCCCATGGAAGCAGGCCTCCTAGGAATGTACACCTGCACCCCTCTTCCCACTCGCCCGCCCCCACCTCCCCATCTCCGGCTCCCTTGGGTGTGCTGTGTTGTGAACAGCACCCTTCCACAGCTGATGTTAGAACCTCTGACAAAGGCAAGGATTCCAAATCTCCTTCTATTACCACTTGACAGTAGGTCTCAGGGGGTGACTCTTTGACACCCACTTCCCATGAACAAACTTCAGGCCTTTTTTCAAGGTAAAAGTGTCATATTTATTTTTACCTCCTTGTTTCTTCTTTAAACATGTGTAGAACTATATGACCATTTTATGAAAAGTTTTTTAAAATGTCACTCATAAAGTTTTAAAAGACTGCCACCCCCTAATCCATTTTTTTCTCTATCAGTGCAGGGCAGATAGGTCATGTTGAAGCAGAACTGACTATGGGATAAAACTGCATTCACAATAAAAGTTGAGACCCTTTCATTGTAAAAAAATACTGCATGAAAAATAAATAAATAAACAAAAAGCTCAGAGGATCTGGAGCAATGTTAAGTCTGTTTCCATAGAAACTGTGGACTGAATAATTCAGAATAAAACCTGTGCTAAAACCACAATTAAACTGGTCTCACAACAGACTAAAAATGTTCTAATGGGCAGTTCCCAAATAATCTCACCTCAGCATGCATCAGAACTGAACTCATTTACTGTTAATGACACTAACAAAACTCAACCCTCAACCACCTCATATTTTAGAATGGATAAAATATAAATCTGTTTCTGAGTAGGTCATCTTCTATACCAATGTTGTAATTTCTACATTATGGGGAAATATAACCAGAACTCTAAATAAAGTAACTTTGTATCAACTGTTTCCTCCTGTGTTTTGGATTACCATATATACTCAAGTATAAGCCAACCCAAATATCAGCCGAGGCACCTAATTTTACCACAAAACTGCATTAAAAATGTGCTGAAAAACTCAGCTTATACACGAGTATATACAGTAAGTTAAGTTTTCCTTTTCCTTTACCTATAATTTTTATCATGGAAACCTGGTGCATGCTCCTAGGGAGAAAGAGGCTTTCTATTCCCATAAAGGTTTACATCTTGAGAAACCCACTGGGGCAGTTTTAACCTGTCCTACAGTGTCACTATGAGTCGGAATTGCCTTGATGGCAGTGATCATTATTATCAGATCATGGTCAACTGCTTGCTTCTATTTGGGGATTGTGCAGCTGAGGCAATAGATACAATAAGTCTGAGACAAGTGAGTCAATGAGGTGGGGACAGAGAATTCATTCTGCTAGAATCCTGTACCTAGTGGTAGTGATGCAGTGGCTGCCCATGCCTGACATTCCTAAGCTTGTCTACCATCCCTTGGTCTTGCCTATTATCTGTTCCATTATTCCTCACTCCTACCCCCACAACGCTAGGCTTTTGTTTAACTTCTCTTGAGCTCCATGATATATATTTTTTTCCCTGCCTAAATTAACCGGTCAGTCTCTATTGTTTGAACTAATAAAGAGTGCTGTACTCCTTGTGCTCTTTGAAAGATCGATCTAAGTGCTACCAAACTGAAACAGCAACTGAACAAAGGCGATAGGAAACTTAAGGGGCAGGTCGTTTATGTGGGAGCAACAATTCAGAAAAGGAGGGCTGGAAGGGCCACAAATCTTGCAGAATCTAACCATTCTCACTGGCCTGCACTTGCAGGAACTTGAATAGGTCCACGTACATGTGTTCAACAACAACAACAGCAAAAACTTAATGTACGGACCAGAATAGACTGATTTAGACAAAATATTAACTATTTCAAATTGTCACAAATCTAAATGAAACCTATTGTGTTTACCATAAATCTCAGGGATTTAATAAATTCCTTTCTGGCTGTCTTTGAGGTAAAATCAAACAATAAAACTAACTCCCCCACCCTTCTAAATGCTAAAAGAAAACAAAAATGCATCTGTTTGGACATATTTTGCTTCCCTGAGAAATTAAAACTAGATCTGAGGCCACTCCATTATGGTTTTCATCGTAAAAATTCGAAGGTTCTTTTTTTTTTAAATCATTTTATTAGGGGCTCATACAACTCTTATCCCAATCCATACATACATCAATTGTGTAAAGCACATTTGTACATTCA